ACAGACAGAGGCGCCCCGACCTTGCCGGTCACGCCGTCAATCTCTGCACCACCCCAAGCCTTGAAAGCGGTCTCAAAACGAAACTCTTTGTGCACTGCCCTCTGCAAGTTGGCCTCGAGGTAAGCCTTCTCCGCAGCCTCCACCAATTGCACATCGGTATCCTGTGGCGAGGGTGCAGGCGGCTTGAAGCTACCGTCCACGGGCACAACACCAGACGAAGAGCACCTCTGCCAAATGAGCAAGTCGTCGATGTACACTCCCTGCCAGGACCGGGCTTCTCGGGACCGGCTCGCCGTAAATCAGGGTGCAGCTCGGGCTCAGAACACCTCGCCTTCGCAACACCGCCTCGTGAACAGCTTGGGCAATATCGCAGCCGTTAATATCACCCATGCCTAGGACCCTGAAACACAGCCTGTACTCTCGCCGAGGGCAAAGTCCCAGCTCTCGTCGGACATGGGGAGAAAGCCGACGGCCCACAGCAGTATGTTTGATCCAGTTCTCAGGTAAACGGAGCGTGTAGTAGTAGTTGCGCAAGTCGTCCCCTGACCCTCTAAGGTACTCCTCAGGCGAAAGCAAAAGTCTGGTGAAGCACGCCCCGCTCGGGAGCTTCGCCCAGGAGATCTTCTCCATGGTGGCATTCTCCGGTCTCCTGTCGAAAATCAGGCGGTCTTCTGCTTCGTTCTTGGCAACCCCGAACAAACCTCCAACCAACAGGCGCCCGTCACGGCGTCGCGGCAAATCGTCCTCTGGAACGGGGACAGCCATGCCGTGTAGCACCAATCTGCGCACTAAGGCGTCCTCCTCGCTCGGCTCCACTCTGTGGCATGCCAGGGGCACGTCACTCCCGTCCTCTTCGGCCCGCCTAAGGCGGCCCAAGTCCTGCAAGACAGCCGCACGCTCGGGAGGAAGCCATTCGCAAGGATCCACCTGCCCCGCCTTGGGCGGCAGGGCCACACGCGAAGGGACCACCGGAAGGGCAGTCGAAACTTTCCCCGGCACCTGGGCGGCCACAAACGTATTCACGAAGGCCC